CAGGAACTACCTACAGCACTGTATTAACAGCATTTCCTGAGTGACTTTTGTAGGTAAAAGCATCATACTTCTATAGGTAAGGAGGGAAGTAGAAAATAAATATAAAAATATATGATCTCGCCCTGGGCGAGAACTTTTAAAGGACCCAGCTCAGTTAGAGTGGCGTCCTGATACACCAAGGTTGCCAGTTTGATCCTCCATCAGGGCACATACAAGAAGCAATCAATGAATAAGAGGAACAACACTGATGTTTCTCTCTCTTTCCTCTCTAAAATCAATAAATAAAATTTTAAAAATAAAAAGATATGCTTCTCCACCTGCAGTTTGTAATGCTCTTTGTTATATCAAGGTATAAACTTAATAGATAGTTCAGGCAAAATGGATAAAAATCAAGAATGAGAACCTTGCCCTACCTGGTTTGGCTCAGTGGATAGAGCATCCGCCTGCGGACTGAAGGGTCCCAGGTTTGGTTCTGGTCAAGGGCACATGCAGGGGTTACTGGCTTGATCCCCAGGAGAGGGTGTGCAGGAGGCAGATGACCAATGATTCTCTCTCATCAATGTTTCTCTCTCTCTCTCCCTTCCTCTCTCAAATTAATAAAAATACTTTTTAAAAAAAAAGACATGAGAACCTTAATACTTTTAAACTAGAAAGTTTCCTGGTGAGCCAGTAGCATTTGTGTAAGTTTTAAAAGATGCCCTGACCGGTTTGGCTCAATGGATAGAGCGTCGGCCTGTGGACTGAAGGGTCCCAGGTTCGATTCCAGTCAAGGGCATGTACCTTGGTTGCGGGCACATCCCCAGTAGGGGGTGTGCAGGAGGCAGCTGATCGATGTTTCTCTCTCATCGATATTTCCAACTCTCTATCCCTCTCCCTTCCTCTCTGTAAAAAATCAATAAAATATATTAAAAAAAATAAAAGATTGCATATACATTAACATATATATACTAAATACCCTTTCATGAGATGAGGTAATGCATTTCAGCTTAATACACAAATGATGGTAACTGAAGAAGGATTAAGTAGTGGACATGAAGGACAAGATATTGCATATATGCAGAGGAAAGATGAATATTTGTATTAAGGGTGTTCAAATATGGTAGTCTCTTCACTACAAAGTAGAGCTATACATTGAAGGCAATAGATAGGACACAATGTAATTATTAACTTATGCTCTGATTAAGCAAATGCAGAGTGAAACTTTTCCTTTATCCCTGAGATTTGAAATATTTTACAACATCAGGGATAAAGAAAAGCAAATGTATTCTCTTTATTTTGGTAGATGTTAATGTAATCTTAAAAGTTGAGGGTGTGTGTATCAAGTGCATTTCCCACCTCTCCCCCGCCCCCAAGATCTAACCATAATAGCTTGCTTTTTGCATATATATATATATATATATATATATATATATTATTTTAACAGCAGGATATATATATGTCCTATATATACTGTTAAAATGTTTTGCTGTTAAAATATACTGTTAAAATAATGTTTTGCTTAACCACAAATTTGTCAATGACTTACACATTTTAACTTTCATTTATGTACAATATTTGCTACCAAATGATGTCACAGAGTTATAAATGTTTGAGTAGAGGAGTAGAAATTTAGGATGCTTTTGGGAGGGTCTCCGGTGTAAAATAATATGTAATAATTTGAAAGGTAGTTGGGTCTGGAGTTATAAATGACCTAACTACTAAAGTAAACAATTCATAATTAGCTTAAGAAGGAAAAAACTACCAAACCATTCTGTTATATAACAAGAAAGCAAATACATACTATATTCTGTTCAAGTTTTCAAAAGACAGATATTTGTAAATTCATTTTAATGTTTTCTCTTCACATCCCCTCTCAAACTTTCTCAAATGCACTTTAACTCTGAATCCTGTAGTTCCCCCCCTTGCTGATAAGGTCCCCACCATATATTTTTTGCCAATGAGGCTTTAAAATAAAATAATCACTCAAAGAGATATTTTTAGAGTAATATATAGATCTGTAGCAGTCTAACCTATGTTTCTCATGGACCAAATATTTACACGTAGATACACGAGACCCCTAGAAACAAAACAAACAACTATTTTCAGAGTAAAATTGCTGTCATATCCGACACTAAAAAAAAAAAAAAAAACAAAAAAAACTGTCAGCAACTATCAGGCATACAGCGGTTGTCACTTGGAGCCCACGGAGTGTTTTGAATGTTTGAGAGCACACGCTATTATTATAAGGCTTTCTCAGCAAAAAAGAAAATAAGACGAGCATGCCAAGAACTTCTAATCAGCATTTGCAGAAATCACAAGTCGGAATTTGCAGACCCAAGAATTCTCTTTTCCAGAGTAAACACTCCTGACTCCAAAAACAAAACCAGCCATCGCCAAACAGTCCTTCCCTGCTCCCCTTCTCCGCCAAGCTACCGGGCAAATTTCTTCGCACTTCAGACTCCGGGAGGCACCAATATGCCTCAGACTGAAAACCCTGCTCCAGAATGGAGCCGCCGCAATCAGAGGAGGAGCTCAGAACAGACCTTCCAGCCCCTTTAGAAACGACTCAAGTCGATCGCGGAGGACCTGGGGAAGGGAGACTTTTCTCTTTGTTACGCTCCTGCCATCCGATCCGTCCGTAGCCGGGACCCGTCCCCCGGGGCTGCCCGACGCGCTCCGGGGTCCCCGCCGGCGGACACACCCCACCGATCCGCCCGCCGCCCGGGGTCCCGCGCCCTCACCTGCTCCGGCGCCTGCATCCTCGGGGCCGCGCGCCCCACTCAGCGGCCCGCCTCCCCGGCCCCGCCGCGCGCCGGCGCAGCGCGCCCGCACCGGGCGCTCTCATGGGGTCGCGAGCTTCACTTCTG